AATTGTCTAAAATATTAGTTTTATACGAGCTAGGCTTTTGGATCATTTTTACACCCTTAATTAAATGTCGGTCTTGCTTATCGAATTAACCATAAACAATATGCAGATACAAAAAACAATTAAAGAAAACATGGAAGTAGAACTAAAACAAAGTTATGATCTATTATCCAACGATCCACACATTAAGAAAATCACCAAAGGATTCGATTTAATGCAGAAAACGGTACTTGAGCATTATTTATGTCGTCGACTCTTAATCGATGCAGCAGATATCAATTTTAACTACTAAATTTAACTACTCTAATTAACATTGATTAATTCCACCATAGTATGACTGTTGTGGATCTAATAATTATACCGACTGGGAAAATTCAAGGTGGCATTCTATGCTGGAAGTGGATAATTTACGTGCATTAGTGCCAATAAGTTGCTGTAAATCTCAATTTGATAACCAATGCAATATACATCTTAATTCTATTCACACTGTGGTAAATTTTAAATTTTAAAAGCAATACACGATATCTGTATAATTTTTGGCTACTTTAATTTCTACCGTCATCAAACAATAATTTAGATAACTATATTCGCCAATTGTAGGGATGCAAAGGCACTTACTCAACAGTCATCGATAGCCATCTACTATTGATAGCTTTCTTCTCCATGGCAATAGCATCATTACAGGTACAGGACAGTGTATAATATTAGTTAACCATTAATCCTCATTGAATCAGAGATTTTATATCAAACAAATTTAGTCAAAAACACCGTTATGATTCAGAACCAGCTATCGAGTTTCAGATTTTTCTACAAATATTTACGAAACTGAATCTGGTTACAGCGAGTAGATATCGTTACTTTGGATAAATAGAACTTTTAATGATCTTCTATTTTTCTAAAATCGTGATTGAATTATTGTGCATAAGTATTTTAAGCTAGTAATTTTCTAGTTAAAGCAGAAATATAACATTAAAGAATATTCTTAACCAGCACGAAGAAACTTTAATTATTGTATAAAACTATAATTTAGTATATTATTATTAGTCAGAGTGGCAGCGGAGTTCAAATAGCATCTACTCCGCAACATGTATCATTTGTAACTGGATTCTAAACATCTATAAAAATAACTAGCTACCTCCTTCTTTTCACCCGGCTTAACATAGCTTTTGGACCAATAAATAGAACAACTATAAAGTATAACTCCAGTTACTAGCTCAAAGCTTGATCAAATTCTGTATATCAGTTATAATGGATAACTCAGTTTATTAAATATTTCAAAAATTAGCGCCATCTATTTCAATTAATGTACGTAACTTTGACCAATGAGTTATTTACTATATCGCCTAGTGGATATCCCGAGGGTATACCAGATTATTTCAATTGGAATACTTAAATAAAATATAATAAATGAGACAAATATACTTCAGAACTCAGTCATCTAGTACATAATTTTATAATTTCAATATTAATTCTGTTACAAGCTCTGTTGGATAAAAAATTATGTTAAGCAATTTCCATGTAGCTGTAACGCCTAATTTATTTGTATCGACAGTTACAAACATTTAAAATATTCCTGTTTTAATTAATTCCATGTGCTTGTTAAATCCATTGTATGTTTTGAAATCAATATATTGATCGTATGCTCTTATTTCTAAATTTTAGTTACTCTGCCTAATTTGTGCAGCCTTCATGTGCTATAAAATGTCTTGCCGTGAAATGAAGTCTTTGTAACTCCAAACACAACAATTTCAAGAAAACTATTGAAAATGATCATGGCTAATCTATTGATAGAGGTCATTAAATCTTTCATCGATCGACTTCCTTTACTGAATGAACTAAAAATTTTCAAGTCTTTACGTCACAAAATGGATTGATTCGCATAAAGCCTAGAAGGAAAATGAAATGATGGAATCTATAACAACGATTAACAAGTGATGCTTGAAATAGCTGGCATGGTAAAGACTTGACTTATAATATGTGAAACCTGTGATAAAAATTTCATAAGTTAGAACTATAATTGATTTATCGCTGCATTTATAAACGCATAGACTAATAAAAGAGTTTCTAAGATTATTTATTAACGCAAAGACTTTGAATAAATTTGCTATTATAATTGATTTACACATATAAAACATGATTATCTAGTATCCATTTTATTTACACCTAGAGCTAATTTTCATTTAAATATAATACCATATTGCTATACTTATGATCATGACTACTATGTAATACTACACCATTTGCTCGTAAAATGATCTGCTAAATTTATCTTAGACGACTTAAGCTTACTACTACCAGTAAATCGTAACAAACCGATACACCTTTATAACTTACTCCTATTACCTAATTTGATCTACACTTAACGAATATGATCATTTTTTTTCATTTCATTTATGTCAGAGCAACAGCGATTCTAGCCCTGTTAACAAATAGTATATGTTATTAGCGCTATTCTTTATGAATTTAACTTATTGATATAGCAGACTAAGCGAATACGCAATTAGATGATTCGAGTAAACTTTCTAACCAATAATAACAGGAGTATATCGGAGTTAATGCATAAAGCATGATATTACTTTCATCAACGGGTTATATTGACATATGATGTTATAAATTAAAGCGTCAACTATAATAAGCAGCAATCATATGGTATTTACAAATTCAAGTTCGCTATAATTTATAATGACCAAATCTAGCTAATTTTATAAACTATATAAAATTGCTTTAACAGCTAGCCCTTAATTCGTAATATCTCGAAGATTAAATAAAATAAACAATGAGAAATATCAACCTGCGCTGGATAACTTGCAATAAGAGTCTTTTGATTTTCTTATATTTATTAAACATAAAGAGGATATAATATCGAAAGGCTCTATTACATCTAAATGGCGGCCAGATCTTACGATATTTTTTAATCTATACATTCGTCTAATTGCGATTGATATTCAGAATTGGGTAAAATTCCTGTATAACAACTGCGAACCACAAGAAAGCAAAATGTGCTTACACAGCTATAAATTCATGAAATTGATCAACCAACAGTTGATACATCGTCTTTAAATGGTATTTTAAATGGTTGAATGGGTTTTATTCAATCTGGGATGTTATATCGTCAATTTTAATAAAATAAAAACTATTTAATATGATTTTGAGCATGGCTGGCCTTCAAGATTATCTAGTATCACATTTTAAAATCATTTTACCAAGTTGGTAGACAGGAAAGAACGCCAATGATCTGCAAAAGATCTCGCTTAGGCTTCTATATTTACTAAATTCGAATATTTTGCATAGAAATTTTATATATTAGAAAGTAATTTCCGATTTGAAATACATTTAGAGACTATTACTCCCTATACACTTTACATCTAATAGACTAATAGGGTATGTAGGATGTCTATTTCTCATTTCAAAAGAGAAGCAGTTTCATACACTTTTCACTTTCGCTAGATTAATCCACTATTAGGTTTATGTCTGGTAGGTCAACAGATCTTTTCAATTTATTTTATCCATTCCCTTCCATCATTCACTTGTTAGTAATAACCACTACTTCGAAAATAAATTTTCTGCAGATTAATAGTACTCTTCTCACTTTTGTCAGATTCATCCCCTTTTAGGACATACTCGGAAGTCTCATAAGTCCACAAATCTGTTCAATTTTATTTATTTTATCCTTTCTCTTCTATCATTCACTTGTTAGCAATGACCTTTTGTTAAAAATGTAAATTTGTCAAAACGACGAAAAGTAGAACTATTGCTGAAAACTATAACTCTCTCTTTAGACAAAACTTAACCCAAACTCTATTGAAAAACTAGTCAATTTATAGTCAATTTTCGTAAACATTCGTTATTAGTACTTACTTAATATTTTAGACTACAGTATACATTTATTTATAAAAGAACGTATAACATTATAGATAACGGTAGTTTCGATAAATACCAAATCATGCCATCTAACGAAATAAGATAAGCATTAGATAGTGAAAGTCACTTCGCGACGCTATAATAGCGAAAATAAAATTTCTGTAGATCAATAGTATACTTTTCATTGTCGCCCAATTATTCCACTTTGAAGATAGATGCCTCGTAGATCAACAAATCTGTTCCATTTTTCTATTTAATTCATTCCCTTCCATTGTTCACTTGTTAGCTGTAACTATTACAGCGAAAATAAAAATTTTAGTCGATTAATTAATTGGCGTTCAGTGGACATTCAATTAAGCATGAAGAGTTTTTATTCACATTCCAATAATATGATTTTAATCCATTATAAGTGTTAATTCAGTTAAAATTGAAATATGTATATATATATATATATATATATATAGGTACTAATCGATAATAATTGCAGCCAGCTGATCTATAAACTGTTAATTAGACCTACTTTAATACGTAGCGTGTCGTCATCGTCACGTGGCATCTGGTTACCATAGCAATTTTTTAGTCAATCTGACTACTCTAACCTAATTATAGCTACCCTTTCTTCATTTTATTCTGGCAATACTGCTATCCTTTTTGTCTATTTGGATATTAATTCTTACGTCAGTCTAATGACTAGTTTACTATTGATGAAAGTAGCAACGTCACTTACTTGTCTATAGCATGATTGATGCCTATCCTTTTTCTCGATAATAGCAAGCCCAATCAATCCAAAGTTGATCTATTTGATATGCCCAAGTTGCTGATAGAATTAAGCTGATATTTTGCGTTGCCTTCTAATATAAAATTCGATACACTGCTGTCTACATGTGTTTCATCAGGCTATCTAGCTAAGACAATTTTCTATAATATTTTCTTCCCTACTTTCCAAGTTTATCGATAGGCAGTCGACGATTTTGTTATTTACAATTCAACTTTTGTAGCCTAGTCGATAAAACGGGAAGGATAAAAGTCGTAACTAGTCCATAGAAACCCGAATTTTATTCTACTACGCTACTTAAATCAACATTAACACATTTATAGTAAGTTATTATTGTATCCTCCAATAACCTTCAACTGAATCAAGAATGCATCTTCGTTCTGGATACCAATGTATTCGTATCATATTTTGGTGTTTAAATTTGATATTTACGGTAATAAATAAACACATTTCATCTTTTAACATATGACTTTTTGTCATAGCATAAGTTTAGGCTAATATTATAGATATTTATAAACAATTTGCTTTACAAGCAGTATAAGAAAATGTCACATTTTAGTCTATATCAATTTAGCTGTAAACTTACTTTCACAAACTACTATCATTTCATAGCATTTTATTATCTTTTAATTAACATACTCTGTGATATTTCCTTTATTAGTAATGAAGAAGTACTATAAGTACCCGTACTATCTAGTTTTCAATACTAGTAGTAGAAAATACTTATGTAATCGTTCGAAGATATTGTATCGGATTAAAAAATATAGAAATTTGTGTTACTCTCTAAGGATTAACGCACATACAAAGTTTTATTCATTAACCTAATTTATCGCTTTTCTTTCGACTTTATCATATATAACACGATTTTACCTTTATCCACGTATACAGGCAATTGGTATTGCGATTATGGCAGTAGGAATTTATGCACTATTGCAGTATAACCAATTACCAGCCTTTAGCGATAGTACATTGAAAGGAGGAATTGCTATAGCAGTAGCTGCCGGTTGTCTAATCATTGTTATCGCTGGGCTTGGATGCTGTGGAGCTTGGGCAGGCAATACATGTGTACTGCTACTGGTAAGGCATTATATGAGTTAGTACAACTTTTTCAATAATACTGGACTAGCTTTGGTTATGACTTATCAATTTAACTTCCCATGTATCAGACATTTTATTATTATTTATTTACAAACTTTTAAAATGCTATTGTATCATATTACCCTACTATCATACTTTTAAATTCCTACTTACAATCGATATCTCCTGAAATTTATTACTATTCTGTTCTTCAATTGATATCCAACATTTACTACGGTGATTGCACAAATTAGCATCTGTAGATTAGCTAAGATAATTATTTGTCAATTCAAATTCTTCACTTATCAGCTATTTTTTATTTTTTATTTTACAAACTTTTGAATTACCAATACATCACATTACCTAACTATCATACTTATAAGTTCCTCTTTCTACTCGATATCACTTGAAATTTAATACTCTTCTGTTCTGAAATGTATATCCAACATTTATTGCGGTAATTATTCTAACTAACATCTGAAGTTATTTTAAACCGCAGTAAACTAAACATGATCATATAAACGATTGTAGAAACTACTAGAAATGATTTTAAATTTCAATACTAGGCTAATATACATTTGATCCTTGTTTGAAAGTATTGAGGATTTCTTGTTTATGAAAATCAAAATATGAATAGGGGTAGCAATCAATATAATATTGATCAAATATGAATCAACTACTAGTGAAGCTTAAATCCATATCTGAATCAGTCTTTGCAGTTCGAGATACTTACAAAGCGATATCTTAATAATTTTCTCGTCTTTAATTAAATCTTTAATCTAGTACACGATTATCCTTGCCATTATTACTGCCATCGAAATTACTGCTGGAATTATTGGTTATGTCTACCGTGACACTGTTCGAAACTATGCTACTCGATTTATAAGTCAAGTCATGAGTGATTATGGTAACGGCCACAACGCAACCATAACAACAGTCAATGAGGTTCAGCAAAAGGTAATTTGATTATTCTATATAGATTCTCTTTTATCCGAATCAGTTAATCTATAAACTGACATAGTTTTTTGATCAAATTCATTTTATTTTCTTGCATGGACAGTTTCACTGTTGTGGAGCAACTACTATTGCTTCTTGGTATAACAGTTCCTTCGCCAATGGAAAGCCGATTGTTCCAGATTCATGCTGTGTTAGTATGGCTAAAAATTGCGGCAAACAAGGCAATATTACTAATATCTATAATACAGTAAGTATCCCATAATAAATGCATATGCTTATATTGCAAGACTGAAATCTCGTCAATTTCTAGTACTTATTAAGTTTAACGAATCTTTTTTGATAGTCTTGATAGCTTTGTGATACTAAAATAGTTCTTTAGCCATGTTTAAGAGCAAACGGCTACTTCCAATCTTTGGTAACCTACTTAACGATATCCGACTGCTTTTCTTTAATTTTTCAGGGATGCCTGACAAAATTTATTGATTATAGCAAGCGAAATTTATTAGCAATAGGTGGTATTTCTTTGGCTGTAGCCCTTTTGCAGGTTAGCATTAAATTAGGGCTATTCTTCAGATATAAAATCTAGTTATTATGTATAGATATGTTGCAATCGAAACAGATTAGCTCCACATATAGCCTACTCCATGGCAATTGGTGATAAAAATATATAGTAACAATTAGTACGTATATTTACCTTACAATTAACGATTGGAACTTTCATAGCACCAATTTGTATCGGTGTAAATTTAATTTTCAGTGTTATTGAATAAATATTACATAATGGAAATATAGCGTAACCTGTACTTTAACAGTTCTGTTATATTTTGTTATGAATTATAGGCCAATAGATGAATAATCATCTCATTGGATAAATATTATAATTTATAAATAAATACGATGCTATTACAGCGATTACTGTATTAAGTCGATAAATTACCCTATTTAAGCATAAATACGTAAGCAAGATATTTGAAAATATATACGAGTATAATGTCACTTCATTTTATTGTAGATATTGGGAATTATATTTAGTTGTTGCCTATGTCGCGAGTTTCACCGACAATCTGCGTACACCAAAGTCAAGCTTTCGGTAAAGGGCGGTCAAGATGTTGAAGCTAAAATTAAAATTAAAAACCGTGGATGTCTCCCATGTTAAGTATTCATTTCAAGAATTGTAGAGCAATTTAATATCCATCTTCAAAGCAAGTTGTTGTTTCTGAACAACCGTGTATAAAGACATGTTCAATATTCTATTATTCTTTAAATACGATATCGTGCTATTAACGTATTCGTCTGTTTATTGATTTGTAAAAATAAGTCGGCCATACCAAGCTTACTGAGCAATTTGATAACTTAGTTACAGGAGTAGCAATTCAGTTTAACATAATATTTATGAAACTGTAGATTATTTCTGACTTCTTTCATAGTCTATGTGCAATTTTATTCTGGCTGAATTAAGGTAGATTTTCCGCCAAATCTAGCCCATAGATACATTGCTTTTATTACATCTTGAAAAGCTTTATATTAGTAGAAGAATAGATTCAAACACTTACATTCGACATTAGAACGTGTTCTAGCCATAATAAATTGATAGCTAACTTTCAGGTTTATTGCTTATAAACTATCCACATACAAATGTAATGCCTATCTGTTATCTGCACTCTCTTGAACAAATGAATCTAGTCATTACTAACGTACTATAACCAGTATCTGTTGCCTTATTCTATGGTGTGCTATCAGATTTTCTAGTGAGACAACTACAAGCAGTAAAATTGTGTAACCTATATTAGGCATATTTAATTTAGAAATATTTATTTAGATGCTACATGAATTATAAGAAGTTTACAGTACAGAAATGTTTTAAGAACTACAGATAATCGTAGTATATTATGACACAAAAGGAATCCAACACAGCTTTCAAATTTATGGAAACAATAATTTGTGTATCATTAACTAACTACCAACTTTGACTGATGCGACGCTTTGCTTTTAGCAAGGTCACGTTGCTCTATTCTTGGGTATAGATGTTTCTGTAGCTGTTTTTGAAAGTTTCTTATCGTTTATTTTATTCTGGATAAAGAATGCAATAATATTGTACAGCTATTAATTTACCCATATTCACTTAATAAGGATATAAACTATAGTAACTTATTCGCAACCCATTTCGTCAGTTCAATATGTAGATGAAGTGCTTAAATTATTCATATTTTGTCCTATTTACTAAAATAGCCAATACCTTTATTCATCATTCCATTTAAATATTACTTTGCATTCTTTTGTATTGGTATAACTTTAAATTGATGATTACTTGTTCATTTTTAACTATGTAAACTAATTTCATTTCTAAGTCTAAGCTTAAATTTTATCATGACAGTAATCTAAACAGTTTACAGAAAAAATATATGTAATAGCAATAGATCCTTGAGATTAAATGGCCTTTCATATGGTACCTATATTGCGGATTTTTGTGAGTTTCTATGATCTCGTAATGAAGACGATATTTAAGATACCAGACTAATCATGATTAATAACGTAAGATCATATTAGAACTCTCTTCGCCAGTTATAAGATATACATTTCTTCATAATATCATCATCTTATACGGTACCGGTATAAATTTAAATATCAATTAATCTTCTTATTGGATATCTGTTATATGTATCCAGTAATTTTGCAATTGCGGCTTTTAAAATGTAGATGCTGGATTTAAACGATCTTTTTTCCTGCAGATATTTTGAATATCTCTTCTTAATATAAAATTTTACACGAGTAATTACAGAAGATCATATTAGAACTCTCTTCCGTAGTTAGAAGAGACGCAGTTCTTTTTAACATCATCATCATATACGGTATAAATTTAAATATCCAGATATTCTGGATATCTTTCGAAAATATAAAATTTTACATTTCAGAGAACGTATCCAGAATATCCTCTACTTATCTCCCGGAAACTTTAAGATGTGCATTTGTCTAGTTTCTCTATTATAGACTTATCTACTACTGTTAACTGGACAGTTCCAATTGCAGCTGTACACTCTATATTCATTTATAGAATAACTTTTATTTCCTCAATCTGCCGATACCACCCGAATATTTGTAGTAGCGTGGATGTAGTTAATAACTTAAAGTAGAGACTATCATGGCTAATGATTTCTCTCGCTTAATCAAGATTACGATATCTTTACTGAAACAAGTTCAGTAAAACACAAATATAAAGATTCTTACAGCTATCGCCCGATATCGTTTTTAGAATAACTTGTATTTGCCCGATCGGCCAATAATATCTGAATATATGTAATAACATGCATATAGTAGACAACTTTATATAGAGTTATCATGATTACTTATGATTTTTCTAGCTTAATCAACATTATTCCTACATCTGCAATAGCATGTAAGACGATAACAACTTAAAGTAGGGCTATTATTAATTCAAACGAATCGAATAAATGCAATTTAGACTACAATCAGAGAGTAGTTAGGAGAAAACAGAATAGATTTATTTTACAGATAAATTATATGCACAAAGAATGTCAAAAATCTATGAAAACGACGTCTATTTTTATAGCGAACAGTAAAATTACTTAGCTCTACGCGTATAATCATTTATTTTTCATAAATTAAGAAAACAAAACAAAATAAGCAATTCCTACGTATTATAAAGGCAGCCTTAATTGAGCCTCCTTGTCAGTTTATTCCTCGTTACTAGTCTAAATTTAAGTAAGACGGCAGCATTTATGATTCTTAACTGATAGTACATGTTATCGATCAGAGAAAGATACAGGCACACAAAACTTTTTCACTTCTATGCATTACTTGTTACTAGCACCAGTCTAGTAACTGTGCTAATTAATTACTTGATAACATAGCTTAATTTAATCATGATGATAAGTGCAAAGATAGAATATTACTCTATCATCCTGATCGCGATATATAAAGTATGCAAACAATATAATCACTCAAGGCTGAAAAGCTAGTACATTGCTCTTCTTACATCACTCTTCTTTCTTCACATGTCGTATTAAGCAAGCAGCCATGACCATGCCTACCAGCTAAAATAAGAGTAATCACCTTAATAGGTAGCCGAACAATTTCATTTCAATGATCAATCATTTAGCTTTAAATCCGTTAAATCTCATAACCATACTCATAACCGAGAGTACTATAGAGCAACCTCGCTATTAGGAGGCCAACTATCTATAATGAAGAGTTGAATCATGTAACTTTATGTAATTATCATAATCACGGTTACAAACTAAAGTAAGAGCAGCTCTGTTAACAAATATTCGAGCTATCGTTAGCAGTTAGATTCTTGAGCTTTGTGTAGCTTAAGCATGCTCATAAACTAAAGTAAGAATAGCTCCGATATTTATATAATCTAGACGTCGTTAACAGTTGGATCCTTTAACTTTGTGTATGTAAATCACGCCTATCAGGCAGGCTTAAAAAAATTATATTGGTAAACTAAAGTAAGAGTAGCTTTGCTCATAGATAATCGAGCTATAATTAACAGTTGGATCCTCTAATTTTATGTCGGTGAATTAAGCCTATTAGGCAAGGTTTGATGTATTAGCAATTAGTCGAGCAACTACACACCAGAGCGATAGGCTAAACCTTTGAGCTGTATGCAAATATTATGATTATGCCCATAAAATCAGAAGTAAGCGTAACGATGCTCGTAGATAACCGAATAATTATCATTAGCAATTTCAGTCACTTAACTGTATATAACGAAACTAAAGGATCGATTTAGGATTAAAATAAGAAAAAATGGCAATCATAAACACATGCAATCTAAAATTAACCTGCAGGCAGCCAAATGTTGCTAAAATAGCGATTGCGATGGCTATATTATTAGAGATTAAATCGCGAATTTTGATATAGCACCCCTGTAATGTAAGATATCGAACAGATCAATAGAATAGAGTGATTAATTTACAATTTTTACTCTCGATCAATATTAATGTTTCATCTGATATGTTAAAAAAAGAGAATGCACGATTTATAGTTAAAAGAGGCCTCATGATTGCATTGTGGTACAGTAATTCTAACCTGTTGATAGATTGCTTCTGTGAATATGGTTTCATTATAATGATTAGCTGGATTAGTACCACAGTTTGGCATTTCCATTTTACAGCAAGAATCTGGAACGGGAGGACCATAATTCCCTACTGGCTTGCTGTTCGACCATTTCGAATTGGTCCAGTTAAAAGGCGAATCTATTCCACAGCATTGGAACTATTATAATAGCAGTGATAGAGAGAAATTAAAGATACAATCGGATTAACAAAATTGACCATAAATCAATTCGTAGATAGCAAAATTCTATCTCAAAGTTCTAGAACGGATAGATTTATCATTCCATATTTACCAGTGTTTGGATTTGATCGATTCCTGTTGTAATAGCATTTTTTTGAGGTTGTCCGTATGAATCTTTAACTTCCGTGCTAAATTTATTTCTGATGGTGCTTTCAACCTTTATTTTATAAAAAATAGTATTTCTAGCAATTAACGATAAAACAATCGCATGCAAATATCAGTGTATATTTTGTATATGCTTTGCAGCTAGAAAGAGAAAGATACTTACTGCAGTGCGATTAATACCAGCATAAATGGCTCCTGCTAATTCCACGATGAATATAGCAATCATACAGCTAAGATACTACGCATATAAGGAGTAAAAAAGGATATGGAACAATTATTTCGTGCAAAACTTTACTCTAGTAAGCTGTTAAATTAGTTAAACCCATGAATTATCCTCATCGAATCAGCTGAAGTTAGAATTAGAAATGACGATTATATCGGGATTGTAATCATCATTATTTCTCTTATTAAACATCGATCACTTTACTATTTCGAAGTTGTTTCAGTAATCAAAACACAAAATAATTAATCCATAACGTAAAAATAGAAGTCATATTTCATATGCTAACGAATAACATTTGCATTGTTTTCTCTCTTGGCTACACGATAGTAATTCTTGATATGAACGTTAAATACTTTCTAATTCATGAGCAAAATCCTTCTGTTAGATTAGTTTTATCCACAACGATATTGGACAAATACCGTAGAATCATGAATTCTGTAGGTAAATATGAACTGTTATTTTCTCTTGCGTACTTGTCTGTTTTCTCTATAGCTAGAAATAATATGCACCTTACTGAGAACTCGTTACTTTTTAGTACTATCTTATGCATTTATTTCACTACTAGTACATAATTTGTAATGCTAAGTAAAATAACATTAAAGCTTACAACCTCTATAGATTCGAAAATGAAATAGAAATCGCATTTTGATGACTATTTTAATAAACTTTACACGCTGTTTAATTCATCAAGGATGCAGTTTGGTAGTTTCAAAAATAAAATTATGCATCTAGATATCAACTGGTTCAATGCAAAAGGAAAACAGAAAACCGAGAAATGGAAAAATAGGAATCGATGTAGAAATATTACATGTTGGCTTAACTTACCGTGCCAAGTAAACATGTGCTCTTCCTTACTGCTCCTAAACATCCCAGTAGTGAAATTAAGAAGACCATTACGCCAATTGCGATCATGATATATGCTGCAGTATGCCATGATGTATCGACAACAATATCTAAACCATTTCCATTAGTCCGAATATAAATACCCAGCCCAAGTAAAGCTGCTCCAAGGACCTTACGATTATATCAAATCAAATAGTAATCTTCACATTAATGCTATCTTGTATTTATTTCACTCTTCTATGAAAGAATACAGGAATAGCTATTATCATAAAATATATCCATAAAGGCTATACTTCTAAAGATATCCAGCTGATATTCTACTGCAAACAAGCAAAGGTCTCGCCTTATTTCTCGTAAATTACGTTAATTGGTAATTTTCATGTCAACATTATTTTCCATTTATGTCATTTTTAGATGAAAGTAAACAGGATACTATAGGTAATGATTATTATCCTAAAATTTATCCATAAAGACCACATTAAGATATTCTACTGCAAACATGCAAAGATCTCACCGCATTTCTCTTAAATTACTTTAAATTGCTAAGCACCGTAGCTTAGTTTATCGTCTACCCACAGGCACAGAAATATTTTCAAGTAGAACTTATACCGGTACTTATTGTAAACTAATATCAGCCCATAATCAATTTTTTTTAGAATTAGATGGAAGCATAGCCGATTAAGCAGAAAAAGACGGTGAGAAAGTAGAAATTATTGCAAACGTATTGTCTACATCAGAAAAAACTAAGGGCATTAAACGCCTAAAACAAGTAGAAAATCTACGCTCTAACTTAATTATCCATTCCAAGATTAACCATATGTTCTCGATACTTAGCAGATAAAAATGAATAGGAGTTGCGATAAGAATATCTTTAGCTGGTATGTTTAAGTTTTAATCGATTTTAAACTGCCTTATCTTCTGTACAATCTATTCATTAATAGTAGTCAAATATTTAAAATCTTAATGGGTTAGCTTAGGAGCCTACTCTATTATGGATCTCAGATATAGGGTAATCAATCAAGATAGCGATCGTGATTAAATCTAAAATTGAATTCAAGATCATTTAATATCGCTAATTTTTACTCGGTTGTAGCTATGACCTATTCCATTAACCCGCTGCATTTTAGGACAATTTTGTAAGCTAATATTTCAGAAACTTCAAAATTTATTCATCTCCTTCCATTGCGACCAGAACAACTAGCCTACGTCTGATAGAAGGATCTGATTAACATACTTATTTCTAAGTTGAATAGTAGAAACACTACTACTGGGGAATAGAAATTTTAAATTTCAATCTATTATAACTTTTCGTAAAAGAAAAAATACCTACCATAAAGCCAAAGGTGATGATATAAAATGAAATCAGCATACATCTCTCTCCACAACCCATGTTTATTGACTTTCTGACCACTTTTCAAACTGCTATGGCAAAGTTATAAAATGGAAAAGATTAGAGCGTTCCTTTTAACATTGAATACGTGTAGAAATAGGATCGGCGTAAGAGTCACCGCAGAGGAATTGAATTTTGATAAGCTTTCTAGTGCGTCATATAACTTGTATAGTACTTTCTAACCGTTAATCATATGCATTAAAACATAATTTACTGTCATGCTGAGATGCTATTCTTACTGCTCTAATCTATTGGATGATCAAGAAATTAATTCAATGGAAAGTCCCACAATCAGATTAGGCTTAATCACCAATGAAGTTAGTGCTAGAAGAAAAAATAAGATTAATGTGAGGTGTAGTCCTGATATTTATTCATGGATAACTTGTATTTCTTCACTATTATGAATAAAATACATGATGTGAAGAATATGGGTAGCTTTTAGCCTGCTAGATGGTTATACCATATTACAATTTCAAAAGTATATTTAGCTCATAATCTAGCAATCGCGTAATGATTCCTATGCTCACATTTAGGTAAAGGATTTGATGACTGATGGTGCAAAAATGATGAAATACAGCTGACAAGGCCAACACTAACGAAAAAGGCATATTGTAAGCAAATTAGCCATTTAATACCTATATTGGTTTCTTTTATTCCTCATCAATTAATCAAGCTATTTTACAATTGTTTCAATTCATATTTATAGCATTTTTTCGTAGCTTTTAGATGATAAACCGCAAAGCAGTAAAATACTATAAGATAAAATTTCTTCAAGATCTATATTGTCAGATATATATATATATACATCCATAAGCAGCTGTTTTGGCCATTGGAGAAGGTTATATAGGTTAATACGGGCTAATCCAATTCCAGCATTTTTAGCTTTCTTTGCAGCTTAAAAAAAAGAAAGATTCATAAAGGTACCCTATAGCCTATGTATAGATTATGGATCCTATTCTTATTGAGTCCCTTAATAGGCTCATAAATTACTAGTAATGTACGAGTATGATAAATTGACCTAAAGTACCGGCGGTACCTTAGGCTACTTAATTATATGGTACAAATGTAGTATTATTAATCTTCAAATTACAATTTTTAGAATTAAAACGTACTCATGCCATAAACTCTATTTTTAACTTATTATAACTCTGAATATGAAATCAATTTTTCAGTATTTGCTCTATTTTATGAGCCTATTACTAGGAAAAATGTAATATACTCTAGTAGACTTAAGCTCATCATAAAATCATCTTCTTCAGATTTTTCAGTGTTTGATCTATTTTATAAGCCTATCGCTAAGAAAATGTAGTATAGTAGACCCAATCTCGCCACAAAGTCACATTCTCCACATTTTTTAGTGTTCGATCTATTTCATGAGCCTATCGCTAGGAAAAATGTAATACAGTAGACCCAATGTTATCATAAAGTCATATTTTTCACATTTTTAGCAGCTTAATATAAAAGGGAAATGATAAAATTGCTCCTGATCTGAAATACCATCTAAGATTACTGCAAATACGACTATAAGATTCAATTTTGCGCGACTCTTATAATTTCTACTATCCTAAAGGAAATTATCGCAATAAATAACGTAGATTCCACGTTACTATATATTAGTAAAATATTCCTCTTCGAATATCCTAGCGTATAGAATTTCATTTTTTGTATATTTTTATTGGTGCAATCTCTATTAATTCTACACTCGAAGAGTTACTGTTATTCATTTTGAATCATAATAGCGACGACATCGTAGAGCCATTACCTGTAGCATATAGAATACAAGCTAGCTACAACCTATTTTTATTGGCACTATCGTGCGAACTAAAGACATAGTTCGGCTACTTTACAGCTGCTCAAGGAGCAAGAGCAAACTGGGTACAAGTGAATACCAGTCATTTAGTCCAATAGCTACGATCTAGATATAGTGTTGCTAATTGAGACAATTTCCAAGTTTGATATTATATCAAAGTAACATTCCTCTTCGAATATTTAAGCCTGTATAGTTTCATTTCTTGTGCATTTGTAATCATGCAATCTCTTGCCATATTGAGTTTGTAAAATGCTTGTCATTCTAGTTCGAATAGCGAGGAGGATCTAATATTTTAAGTATAAGAACAAACATTGAAAAATATCATCTCTCCAGATGACGAATACTTTAAATAGTTGTACAGCATTTGAAATAATTTTTCAATTATTTCCACTTACACTCTCTCGATTCTCTCCAGCGTAAATTGCACCAACAATTTGCAAGATGAAAATAATGATAGCAACTGTCAAATACTAAAAAGTACAAAATAGAATAAGGACAATTCAGTCGCGATTATTTGATAGATCAAAGATTTCTTACGTAAGACGTATACTTTTGTAACAAGAAATTCAATTTGAACCTCGTAAAGAGTATAGATTCTAGTGTTATCAATATTTTAATAGCAAATTATATCACTAGAGAACAATTTAATCACCACTATTAGCCAATGAATATACTATTATCCATTTCTAGGATATCCATGATGGGCTATGATATGAATTGCAAATTAAAGTTAGCAACTACTTACAATACCAAGCATTTACTTGCTGGATTTCCTAGCTCCATAAAATCCGATCATAGAAATCAACAATATAAAGACACCTACAGCAATCATGACATATGCTGCTGTAAACCAAGAATCAATCAGCCATAACACTAATTATATTTCCATTGGGCCTGATTACAATTTCCATTAACAACGAATAGATACCCATTGCCTAATTCAATTATTCAACTCAATATTAGTAGAATAGAGTGATAAATTGATAGAGAACATTGGATAAATACCGATATCTATTTAGCGTTTATTTAGAAATTAACAGTGCCGCTACGATTAGGCCATGTAATATTTTGTGACCTTTAACCGATTACATTACAGATTACTGGCAAGTTGTCGATTTATTTGGCGTCGTATTAGCAGAATAGGGTGATAAAATAATAGATAAAATTGGATAAATGGCTATTTATAGTTATAAATTAACGGTGTTGCAATGATTAGGCAATGTAATATCGAAATCACATACTAATAATTCAACCATAACAAGTACCAGAATATAGTTAATTTTAATATTAGAAGTATAATACCGGGTATTCGACATAAAAATTCTCTATAAGGAATTAAACTATGGTTATAGCTATTATAAATTAGGGAGAACTACTCTCTTCCAATGATCAGGTAAATTGGTTATCGATTAGAATGAAATATTAACTCTGATCGACTTTTCAATCCAATTCTTAATTTACTTTGAATATAAAATCTTGAAAGATTCAGCGAATAATTATCATTCTGTCTCCGAATTTAAAGTCAAAATGTCAGAAATTACTACATTAGCGATCAGTTTAGACTAAATGGGAGTATTCTCCAATGATTGAGCTTTAAACAAGCAAACTATTTTTTAATTTAATCATTTTTATCTTTATACTGTGGTGATTTAGGAATCACGCAGCAAATAGCAAGAGTTAAGCGTCTAAATTAAAGTAGAAACATGCTTCAGATCTACTCCTTATTAAACAATTTTATTGGGCTCAGTTTTTTAGTACTGTATCATAAACAATATGGTAAAAAGCAATATTACAAGCATCCTGTTCTAGCTCAATTTAATAGCAGGATAAATATAATTAATCAAATTCTCGTAAAAAACTTTTCAAGTGCTACAATTGGCTCTGAAGTTCAATCATGTTGAAGATTTTACACTTTACATTTAGCAAAATGGAAATCAAGATCATAACTATGGATTTAATTGAAATTCATAAACGCCGCTGTGGTCAACTAATATCAATTAATTGGCCTTAATGTATCGGATTAAAGTACGTAAAAAAATAAGTTAATGGTAATCATTCAATTCTTTCTGTCGATGACTAATTAGCTTGCTTTTTTTTAATTTTGCCTGAATAGTCTTGGATAAAATGAATAACTAAACAAAAAAGAGGTATAGCCATACTTTATTTATTTCATATAACTCCATCCATAATAAAGTATCATAAGTAAATTAATTTTATCCCTATCACTCGATATAAATTGGCCAGGTGGTTCATATGATGATGTCAAATAGCTTAGCTGAAAAGTTAATTATAAGCGACACGCCTTTTTGAAGTAGTCATATGGATTGTGATATATAATAACTTGTGTATAAATTTAAATTTTGTTATACATTCATCATTATTCCTGAACTGTTGGATGATCTAATTCTTCAATGGACCTTGGACGAAAATAATCCAAAAATAATGATATTCATATATAGAAACGTATACTATATCTACATACAATATATACAGTAAGGAGCACTTTTATTCCCTGAACCCAATTGATCTATGTATGTGTTATGCACTATATACGGCAGGGCGTATAAGGCTACTTAAAATTACATCATAAATATCTACTAGGGAATACCCGTGCTTTTTAACTAGATTTGGAGTAAAATTGATGAAATGGATTGACTTTTATATTGCTGATGATATAACGGTCATTTCATCGAGAATGCAATAATACAGTATACATCAGCTCCAGTTATAACAATATAACTACATCATAGCTAGGTAGCAAATATTTGAGTGCAATTAAAAATGAAACAAGAGTTTCAAAGTTATTAACTTAACGCTTTCCTTTAGATTGATACAAAGTAAATCTTTAGAAGGTATAAAATACAATTTCACATTCTTTCAGGCAATAAATCAATTAGCGATTTATTTACTATGCAACAATTACCAATTACTGTAACCATAGGGTTTCATTTCGAAAAAAGTCTGGATCTAAATGGAAAGTATGACGAAGAACCCCTTCAACTATAAGATTAATATCTGAAAGAATAACATATAAACTAATCTTATACCATCTAAGTACTATCCAAAACTATAGTGTCAAAAGCTATAAAGAGATGATATTATCCTTAACCCACAATCTTCTTCATTACTTTCTATTCTATGTATTATCATTAAATCCTCATCACGGTTTCAAAGCATACATTAGAATCTTTTCGTAAATTAATGTCTGAAATAATAAATAGAAAAGGTATAGCTAAAAGACTCAATGAACTGCTTGTAAAGTAAATATCACATTTTACAATATTTTTAGTTATAATGTTAAAGGAGCTGTTATGAACATTTCTATAATACCATTTCATGAGCAATAGTCTTGAATAACATATGGTTTAAGTTTTCAAGGACTTTACAGTAGTTAGTATAATAATAGGATTACTATAATTAATTTGTACGGGAGCATTCGGATATTAGCCAGCTGTATTTAGTAATTAATTATATCATCTCAAAGTAGTTACATTATAGTTGATCTTGTCTAACGCGATCAAAATTAGAATAATCTACAGGATAAAAATTTATTACTGATTTGTTACATCGATACGAAATACTTGCTGTAGAGACATTGACAACACAAAATTATACGTGATTAGTAATCGATTTGTTTACATCCTCATAGGCGTAATTAAAGACGATATGTGTACTTAAAGTCAAAAAGTAAAGTAGAATTGCACAGCAATATAGCATCATCGGTGTATTCTCATTTACAGACATAGTCATCATTAACAGTGTATTTTATCCTCATAATATCTCACTGTATTAATGCTCGTTTAAAAATAAAGACGTATTTACAAATAAGATCTATCCATTTGCAATTTGTCCTCAGTATCACTTTAATCAACAGCTTGACAATCAAAACAACACTACGTAAGGTTAGCTAGTTCGCGAAGAGTTGAAATCTGAATTTTAAAATTATAGCTCAAAGCTATAATATTGATTACTGAAGTACTAAAGCATAACGGCAATGTTAATGATGATAATTGTGATCAATTTTGTTATACACTACCAAGCTACAGTAGACTTTTCAACATGGAGATGCAGGCATGCTAGCTCCAACCATTTTTTTAGGCAATAGCAACGATCGTACGCCTGTGTCATACTAATCAGCGTACAGTATATTGGAATTTCCTGCATGTTATTACAAAAATATTTTATGATCTTACCACAAAAAGGAGAGTGAAGGCATAGAATAAAAGTCTAACGCAGTCAACCATCTTAAATCAATTACAGCAATTTCCAATCTTAGATTGATAGCTAAAAAGTTATAGTGTGCAACTAATTCTTTCCCAATATAATCATTAACTGCTTACCACAGTTCATATAACACTCTTTCAGTAACTATACTATAAAATATATAATTATTTGATCATATTGTGGATAAGCCAGTCTAATGTACATGAGCAATACAAAACTAAAGATATCATCCAAATAGACAAAGGTAAATGGAAGCAGCAATATCATAATAATATATATATATATACAGTAACGGATATCATAAATTAACCAGGCAGAATACAGTAAAATCAATCAACGGTTAAAAAATTAAACTTGTGATCATAAGAACATCGTAAATACTATAAATTAACTCATAATAATACAATGTTGACTGAAGTAAATGGTGGCTTGATTAATAGGATGCAATATACTTCATAACGGTAGCTTATTATCTTATTACGATTCAATTTTATCGAGTAAATACCGATAGATGAACTTTTTATTCCTATCGAGACTAAAATCAACACCTTAACAACTCTATTGTTGTTTAGTAGGGATCGAAAATTATTAAATATTAGTGTTATCAATATTTGAAGACTTGATGACAGGAGCTAACGCCTACAGGCAAACGATAAAATAGCATATTGCGGTAATTTTATATAACGACATACTAGTAAGCATATTAATACCGCTGTCTTTACTTGTACTATATGCTTAATTATAATGGTTGTCTGCATTCTTATGCTATAATATCTACTGCCAGCCTTATAGGATTCTTATATAAATTTAGGTCTACGTATTTTAGAGAAAATTACTGATGAAGACATTTCTTTTTATAAAGTACTTATTACTAACTTTGCTTTATCCATCAGCACTGTCGGTACAATTGTAATATGTCTTACCCTTTTTTGCAGTTCTACACAAGGTAACAATAGTTCAGTATCAGTATAGACTATTTTAGATTTTATCCAATTCTGATGGCCTATATTCGTAAAAAGTACTGTAAATAGTTAATGCTATCATGCGTACCTCATTCACTTTGCAAGAAATCAATATTATACTTTATATTTACGTACTGGCTACATTAATCTTTTATTTTCTCGTCACTAACTGTCTGAATACATTCATCCACTTTACAATTAAAAATAACTGTGAATCAGCACCATATCGCACCTTAACTTGAAGTCTAAACTACCAAATATTTCGTCGAGATTAGCTGATATTAACACCTGCATCAGTACAAGCCGAACTTTTAATTGATGTTGGCATACATATATTTAAGTCGGTCATGATAAGAAATGGCATTCAGTTATACTAACATCCTACTATGTTAGCGATAACAGCTACATAGCAATCGCAAAGGATAATATTTAAAATTTAATGGAATAGGTTATATGATAAACCTAGAAAAGAAGGAATATTACTATAATGCAAAACTTATAACCTGAACTGCCTGAACCCAGAACTTTTTAGACGATGTTAAGTGAAGATGCCATAAATTACAATTAACAACACACTGGCATCAAGTATACACGACTATAATCGTAAATATAAGCTAAAATGATAAATCATTCACTACTTAAAACAACCACCAATTATTATAAGGTACGAAATCTCTTAATATAAAAATTTCTTTGCAATCCACGTAATTCATTTATGCCCCCAACAAGATATTAACTAAAACCATGAACGTATTCTGTTGTATTACGTAGAGGATGCACACCAAACAGAGGCATATTATTCTTCTTCATCTGCTTTAGCAATCAATACTCCAGCAAGAATCATTCCTAATACCTGTTTATAGAAAAGTAACAAGTTTAATAAATACTAAAATTTATAAAATTAATGACATGTAAATTTGATAGATTTAAATGCAAATATGAACATGTCAAGACAAACCTGTACACCAGCAAATCCTCCAAGAACACCGATAGCTAAACCAAGGTTGTTCGTAATGGAGTTCCTAACAGCCTGGTAGCATCCCTGTATGTATCAATTGCATAAAGTCATCAAAAATGAGCTAGCTCACGTACTCGGTATATACCGTTAATACAACGTTTTACATATTTTTTAAAAAGACTAGAAATATTCAATTTTCATCATAGTTCTAATGGCATAATCAATTGTTCGTTACGTACAATGCTGTAATATGTAGCATTAAATATCACAGCGTTAGCATGAGCAGTAGAATTGACTCCACAAAGTAACGTAGAGGTTCGGCAGCAGCTATCAGGAACTGCAGGTCCATACGGAAAACTGGGCTTGCCACTTATCCATGCACTACTATACCAATCTGTGGTGGTGTTGACACCGCAACATTTAAACTAAATTTTTAAGACAATTCAATATAAGTCGTTCAATAATAATAATTGACAATAAAAAATTTAGGAGCAAAGGTATGCTAAACACTATCAAAATTAGATCATACTGTAGTTTGCAGTTTGTTAAATCCATCTGTGATGACGCCTTGATTAGCTTGACCATATCTAATTTGTACTTCAGTGGTCATTTTTGCCTTGGCCGCTTCTTCAATCTACAAATAAAAAGAATATTAATTCAAGACCTATTATTTCTCTATATAAACTTCATGTTATGCGAAGGCTATAAATTACCTAACTAGCTGCAATTAGAAAATGTTAGCATATGTGTATTTATAGTATCTATACATGCAGCTTCCAACTACTACATCACTTAATCATAGCAAGATGTAATGATAACTTATATTATCAGTAATAGTTATTAAATTACCGCAACTCGGTTAACAGCACCGTAGATAGCACCAGCGATTTCAAGGATGAAAATAACAACTAGGACTCCAAGGTACTACATGAGTAGAATGCAATAAAAGAGTCCAAATGAATAGTGACATTTTTAATACTATCATTAATTAATTATCAACACATTGACTAAAGCAATAATTTTATTAACTTACAATTCCGAGCATGCACTTGTTAGAATTCCTAGCACCACAGAAACCAACAAGGGCAACTAGAAATATGAACACACCTGCCGCTATCATAATATAGGCTGCGGTAAACCAAGAGTTATCCGCTACGACACCAATTAGATCACTGTTTACCCTGATGATTATACCCATAGCTAATAGGGCTATGCCCATAGCCTATACAATATTTATAAGTTGATTAGTGATAGGAATAAAAGGCATAAAACAATAAATTTGCAGTTACTTTAAATCATTTATGTCTAGGGACGTATTCGGAAATTTATTTATAATAGTAAAGCGAATTCGATTTCTTTCTATAGGAACATACGAGAATTGATCGAACTGCATAAATAATGATGAGTGATTTACTTACATGGACATGTACTGTACAGTACAGTGTACACTGTACAGTTACGAAACTGTTACAATTTCAGTCTAATATCGAGGATATACAGTACATTCCAATTCTCTTTTGGTAATTAACAACACGAGGAGTACGATTATCTACGTTGCTGCTGTGGCGTAGGCTAGACAGCATAGGATCATCAGCCTATCAACTTCTTGTGCGTAAATATACAATATGACGGTAATTAACACAGTCCCAACATGCCAACCATAGTTTACCCCAAAATTCAAGTAGGTGTATGATATATAGAGTTAACAACACGCTGACTGTATGCACACTCCATCTTTACTAATAAGATACTGTAATAAACTTTCCAATCAGGTAGTATGAAACGTCCTGAAAGCTATTCACTGGTATGAAGTAGTAAAAGATAGTCCAAACATGTCTATCATATTTTATCCAAAATTCAGAGGAGCGCACAATAACAAAATTCATACACACACTCCATTTAGTAACGTATAGTGTACAGTACTACAATAAATCATCCAATCAGTGCAGCGTAAAAAATCATAAATACCCGCAGAAATTTTCGTATTGCATGAAAGTTTTTTCATAAATAAATAAGAATTACATTATAACTACAGTATACTGGAGATCATTATCGCGCCAAGGAATCAACTTAGTATGGTATGATATGTACAGTAGTAACCATAACTACTTGCGTTAATTCAATAACTTAAAAAACGAGACAGTATCGCCGACAACTGGGCATACCGCACACGATGGGTGTCGGCCTTGAAATGTTTTTCCACCCAATATCCATCGCTATCCTATACGTAAGTGATATATATATAGCAACATATACTCTCTCTCTCTCTCTCTCTTTCTATATATACTATATATGTTTATATATATAAGGATAGGGACTCTTTTTAAAGACAAGTCTCTGACTGCAATATCACTACAGTATATAAGTACAGTAGAGTATAATGCAAGTGGAGAAGGATAAACATGTATGGGTGGAACTATTTACTTTTGTTCTTCCACCCTAGAGACGAGCCCAATTTGATTGGACAGTAGACGATTTCTATTGTTAAGTCAAATCTCATTAATAAAACTTGGCATAGAAAAAATTTTGGGTGCGGTAATACTAGATTGGAAATCAACGACATCCAATGCATTGTACTATTTTATTCAAGTAGGCAAAAACTGCTTAATTTTGGGGTATAAAGATTACTATTCTGTTGCCTAGAAGAGCGCAACGCGGTGGTAATGACTGTTTTTGCCAAAATCGCACTCTTTCATATAGTGAGAGAACATAACCATGATTGAAAGTTTGTGACAAAATCTTTATTCGAATAATGTTAACACACAGCCGGGCATTATCAAAACTTTATTATAGTAGAGTATCGTCATTGATTGGTAGCTACCGCTTTATTATTAGTCATTAAGCCTATTGCAAGCATTCAACGTCAACAGTTGCTAGTAATAAACTAATAATGCTAATGCATTTACGTGATATCTTGCAGATTAGCATTTTTATGAAAGAACAGTATGGGGATTACAGTAAAAATAGGCGGTAATATGAATTAGAAATTGAGTATGATGTAGTTACATTGATGAGCATTCTAGAAATGTGTCAATCAAACTCGTGTTTAGTCATGGATGACAACCACCCAGTACACAGTATTAAAAAGAGATGAGTTTGGAATAGCATTGAAATTATAGTGACGTACTACAAAAATGACATATCCAATACTGCTCATACTCGTATGCTAATACAGAAATTTCATTGAAGTAAGACCATCAAGCTAAGCTAAAGTCATCGCATGCTTTCAAGTTATTTCACAGTACTGTGTCTTGCTAGATACTGTAAACATAGCAAATAGGGATGCCGCCTTTTCTGGTAAAACAGACCGAGTTACTTATTACCCTACCTCCAATTCGGCAAACCTGATCCATTTGCTTTAGCGAATGTACGATCGGAAGCAAGTAGAGCACCCACTTTTGCTCACTAGCTCAGATCCAAGTTGCTAATATTTATATAAATCAAATCTCATTTTCGATAACTACAATATATCAATTCTGCGTTTCTTAATACATATTGTCCAACGGACGTAGTTGGATCACTACCTAATTTTGAGCTCAAGCATGAATAAGGTTCATTCCATCTACTAACATCGACAGCATTGATCTATTCCATAAGATTATATACGAGTCTAAATCATTAATACAATGCAATAACTGCAAAGTATAAACCTGATAGCGTATTAACACATTTGCCTATCATTCAATTTCAATTTGAATTCTACCTACTTACTTAGGCCACTACAGTATCTGTCACAAGCTACAACTCGATACAATTTGATCATTTTATGTTGTCAAAAAGCTGTAATGTGTTGTACAGGAACAGTAATCTGTATCACCATTGTTCGACTTTTGTCGCAGTAGGTAACTCTACATATCCAACTAATTGTAAAGTATAATACTGTGCAGGTATAATACATCAGAATGGGCGAATTAATGTCCACTAGGGAATTTTTTGGTATACAATATAAAATCCGGAAAATAACATGTTTTAATGTTCTGGTGAAACACCCAGTTTCACTACTTTTACAATCGGATCAAAACGAAGTTCTGTAGGCGTAGCGACTTTTTTTTTGCCAACCGTTCCGATACTGGTTTACTGCAAGTGACTTGTATAGTACAGAAAGAAGGCCCGATAGCCTACCACTCGCAGAACGAAATATATCTGTTGTACTCGAATATGATGGCTGACTTTCAACATGGATTTTTTGTTACGTTCAATGAAATAACACCGTGTTTAATTTAATAAGAGCATCCATTTTATCCCTGATAATTCGAATTCAAAAGTCAATGTCCCTGCGGATAAGGGGTCGCACTTCAAAAACAACGCTAATGGATGTACTGCAAATAGGGATATTGTCTATCTCACCAAGTTGAAAACTTTTCTCGACGTATCGATCGATACATGCACTGTATCTATCTGCCGAGTAGTTGTAGCAGTTGTATGGAGAAATTTGCTTCACACTCAATGAATTTATAAAAAAGTAAAGTCTTTATAGTAGATTCTCCAAAATTAATAATCACTATTGGATGAGCATTTTTGGATCAATTTGTTGTTCTATCCTGGTCTCTATTTTTCTTGATAGAATAGTACGTCCTAAAACAGTGTCAAAGGCAGTAGAAGGCAGTCTCAGATTGGTCCAAGACTCCATTGAGACTTACTAAAATGAAGACAGCGCCTTTTGCGCGTTGGCAAATAGACTGTATGCATTCATAATATAGTATGCATATGGATACGGGGCGTCGATGCATAGTTGATATCTTAATCAAGAGCGAGTATGCCCATTGATGTTTGTTGTATCTCTGACTCGATTGCTGGGACGTCTTGAAGGGGCAATTCTAATAAGTCAAGCGATTTCAATCCACTATGGGAAGGATGTAGCAAAAGACTTGTTGGTGGTGAGGTACGGACTACTGGCCATTATGAGTATAGTAATTTGTAGCTGTTCATGGCGCACATACTGTACGTTGATAGTATGCTGTGTCCACTGTAGAGTATTAACGGAATCGATGGTGAAAGGCGGGTAAAATGGGTTTACTACACTAATAACCTATTGCATTGACATCGAGGCTACCTAATAAGGTTTAGCAAGAAGTCAAACAGCATCACTACCAGTCATTGTATATTAACGTGCATATTGGTATCAGTATCATTTTTCAAGTACTTTGATTGTTGCAGTTGGAAAGAAGTCAACTCTTGCCGTACCCTTTTTTTTCTACTTACTTTCGCTAGACAACGAACGTCTAGTCCCTGTTGCTATCCATGACTAGTAGGCAAGCTATTTGTTCATGAAGTCACAAATCAGTCTTAACCCAGCATCATTTATCCACTCTACTGTACTACAAAGTGTACGCCATGGCATTTCATGAATGCAAGTAAGGTACTCAAGTCATAGAACATTTTTTTACCTGTAGGGAAAATTTTTAATCCCATCCCATGTCATTGCCCAATGGACAGTCGAGTAGTGTACCCGAGTGGAATGGGGACAACTCGAGTCAGTCTATTTTTCAACCTATCATTCATTGGTGTATTAGCATTGAAAGTGAAGAACTTACCACAAAAATGAGGGTAAAGATATAGAAAATAACACGGAGACAACCAACGAAACCCATCTTGGATCAACTTGATTCTTGCAAAGAAGAAAATTCACTGCAGTCCAAACTCAATTCTTCAAAATGACAAGCAAGCGTTGTCAACGACTCGACTAGAGTACCTTGACGATGGCTTGAGACTGTAGCAAGGGCGTGTGACCGGTTATTGCGTTTGATGCTTGTACGCACGTCGTTGGACTGCATGTGTTGTAGCCTCCAGTACTGTACACTGTACATTACAGTAATGTACTGTAGGCTAGTACTGTAGTCTAGGGTGTGGATAAGAAAGCACGGCTGATACTGTACTGTATTGAGTTTGGGACACCTTGAGCTCAAACCGTAATCTTTTTCTTTGTGTCACTTTGATTCTACTGTTAATTAAGTTATCCATCAAGCTCCATTAATGCGTTCTAGTACTGTATAGAAACTTGATTGACTACACAGTCCAGCAGTATTGTACTGCACTGTGTACAATAGACTGCGGACAGCATGGCAGAGTGGATTCATTTCAGTCACGTCCATAGGATAAAATAGAAAGAAAACCTGCCGAGTGATATAATGGCTGTCTGTCCAGTAGAGGAAAAACAACAATTCAGTACTGTTATCTACGCTTGCATTGTCAGGTGACAAATAGGCGTTCCACCCAACAATC